TGGTTGAAAGAAACACACGACACGTGGTTCAAGGAAACAAACGACACGTCGAATAACACGACACGTGAAACAAGGAAACACTCACCGACATCCCCATTTGACGTCATATCACAACCAATATTTTATAAAGAAACACTGACATATATATAGAACTCCAGATGAAGTCGTAACCCGATTCAGGAACTAGTACGCTCACATACTTTGTTCAATATTAGATCTATTGAAGCTATTGATGTTTCGGTAAATCTTTATGCTGTCCCAGACCATTCTTTTTATACACCTTCACAGAACGCCACTGTTATACTAAATCAGGCAGAATTGTACAATAGGATCGTTTTAATACATCCTCTGTAATCCAACCGAAATCGATACTAATCGATAGTCCCACATTGTATATATCTACATTTAGTACTGACGTATGTAGCCAGCTCCGACTCATGAATAAATACAACAAAATAGTTTCACAAAGCAGATTATTTTATCATCGTTTTATAATAAGCCACATCACGTCCTGTCTGGCTGATATTGTTCAAAGTTTTCACAACGTTTCCAATTATAAGCTTAGGATGACAGGAACTCTACGAGTCACGTGATCGCGATACTGCCATCATGGTAGTCTCTCCCTACAGATGATTGAGATTAACGGCTGAGATATTGATCTCACAAGAGTTCAAAGACTATGTGGGTATTGGTCTCATATGTCTCCAGTGAGACTGGCATGTACGTATGAACAAGGCTGATGCAGCAACACCCCATCTACAAAAGCCATCAGTTATCCATTTTTAATAAAAAGAATATAATCTTATAATGTCAAAGTGGTTCGCGTACTTTCCACATTAATTTTCCTTGTGGGTCAAGCATCCTTATGACATTTCCAACATTTGTTAGAATAAGAACTCCAGAGGGACAGGCTGTGAGTTGTCAGTAATCATGAACACCTGCAGAACGATAAAGAATTATTGCACCCAGGGGACGCTTTAACCACTAGTCTACCCCACCGCCCCTTATCTCACAGACACCATGAGGCAAGATGTGCCATACAGACAGACAATATATTTAATAAATACCTTTGACTCAAATACATACACTTGCAAGACTGACCTGCCCGAAAGATTAATGTACAGCTCAAATGCAACCTAAGCCTAGGCATCTGGGTGTACTCCTTGTTCCATATTTGTTGGACTATAAACAGTGTTACGTGTTGCTTCCCACCCAGAACTCTGTACGTGAAAGAACTTAGTGTCAAAGCCACAAACAACCTACAAATGGTATACAATCAACAAATATATTACAAAAACTTAACTAGGTTTACAAATCAATACAAATTATAGCACAGCAATTAAGGTGGCAGTACACAATAGAGAGGTTGTACGATTTCCAATGGCAATGCATAATATGAAGCCAGTGGTGAGAAACAATACAGTGGTGATGGCAAAAGTCAGTGATAATAGTATATATTCACCCAGCGGAGACAGTGGTAAAGCTTCCGAGATAGGCCAAGGCTGTCTAAATTTAATGCAATGAGCTTCCGTCGAATATCAACAGAAACAATGTAATGTAGTTACAATCATTGTTTAACAATAAAATACACTGCCATATGACAACACATACACGCTGATCCTGTGCAAAATATCATAATTGTGTGATGTAATCATATTTATTCCTACTCAATTATTTACAGACCGCTGGCATATTGCTGAGTACGGTGTTAAACACCAAACAAACAACGTTATGTAACGGGTCACGGGTGCCAGAAAGCTTTGATCGTAGGTTCGAATCCCTGTTGGCATGGATTATTTCTAGCTTTGTCAGCGCAAAACGCGTACTCGTGTGTTTCACCGAAGTTGTGACCGTCTAAGACATGTATCATTTGGGGCTAGCCTCCCATACCAGTTGCTTTCCGTAAACAACTGGCCTCAACCCATCTCATGAAACCCCCTAACCATTCATGTACCGATCTGTACATATGATACATTAAATAATATGACAACTTTCTCTATTTATGTCTCGGTTGTATTCAGATTTATGTTTCATTTTCCTTCTTCTTGTGCTCGAGGAAAAAATATCATCACCAGACAGAACCAAGATATCAAGACAGAACCACCATGTCCAGACAGAAACATCATGTGCAGACACGACCACCATGTCCAGGCAGAACCACCATGTCCTGACAGAACCACCATGTCCAGACAGAACCACCATGTCCAGACAGAACCACCATGTCCAGACAGAACCACCATGTCCAGACAGAACCACCATGTCCAGACAGAACCACCATGTCCTGACAGAACCACCATGTCCAGGCGGAACCACCATGTACTGACAGAACTACCATGTCCAGACAGAACCACCGTGTCCACACAGAACCACCATGTGCAGACACGACCACCATGTCCAGGCAGAACCACCATGTCCAGGCAGAACCACCATGTCCTGACAGAACTACCATGTCCTGACAGAACCACTATGTTCTGAAAAACCCACCATGTCCTGACAGAACCATCATGTCCAGGCGGAACCAGCATGTCCTGACAGACCCACCATGTCCTGACAGAACCACCATGTTCAGACAGAACCACCATGATCAGTCAGAACCAGCATGATCAGACAGAACCACTATGTCCAGACAGAACCACCATGTCCTGAAAAACCCACCATGTCCTGACAGAACCAGCATGTCCAGGCGGAACCACCATGTCCTGACAGACCCACCATGTTTTGACAGAACCACCATGTTCAGACAGAACCACCATGATCAGACAGAACCACTATGTCCAGACAGAGCCACCATGTCCAGACAGAACCACCATGTCCTGACAGAACCACTATGTCCCCATAGAACCAACATGTTCAGACAGAACCACCATGTCCAGACAGAACCACCATGATCAGACACAACCACCATGACCAGACACAACCACCATGTCCAGACACAACCACAATGTCCAGACAGAACCACTATGACCAGACAGAACCACTATGACCAGACAGAACCACCATGTCCAGACAGAAACATCATGTGCAGACACGACCACCATGTCCAGGCAGAACCACCATGTCCTGACAGAACCACCATGTCCAGGCGGAACCACCATGTCCAGACAGAACTACCATGTCCAGACAGAACCACCGTGTCCACACAGAACCACCATGTGCAGACACGACCACCATGTCCAGGCAGAACCACCATGTCCAGGCAGAACCACCATGTCCTGACAGAACCACCATGTCCTGACAGAACCACCATGTCCTGACAGAACTACCATGTCCTGACAGAACCACTATGTTCTGAAAAACCCACCATGTCCTGACAGAACCATCATGTCCAGGCGGAACCAGCATGTCCTGACAGACCCACCATGTCCTGACAGAACCACCATGTTCAGACAGAACCACCATGATCAGTCAGAACCAGCATGATCAGACAGAACCACTATGTCCAGACAGAACCACCATGTCCTGAAAAACCCACCATGTCCTGACAGAACCAGCATGTCCAGGCGGAACCACCATGTCCTGACAGACCCACCATGTTTTGACAGAACCACCATGTTCAGACAGAACCACCATGATCAGACAGAACCACTATGTCCAGACAGAACCACCATGTCCAGACAGAACCACCATGTCCTGACAGAACAACTATGTCCCCATAGAACCAACATGTTCAGACAGAACCACCATGTCCAGACAGAACCACCATGATCAGACACAACCACCATGACCAGACACAACCACCATGTCCAGACAGAACCACAATGTCCAGACAGAACCACTATGACCAGACAGAACCACTATGACCAGACAGAACCACCATGTCCAGACAGAACCAACATGTCCAGACAGAACCACAATGCCCAGAGAGAACCACCATGTCCAGACAGAACCACTATGACCAGACAGAACCACCAGGCCCAGAACAGAACCACAATGCCCAGAGAGAACCACCTTGATCAGACAGAACCAGCATGTCCAGAGAGAACCACAATGTCCAGACAGAACCAACATGTCCTGACAGAACCACAATGTCCAGAGAGAACCACCATGTCCAGACAGAACCAACATGTCCAGACAGAACCACAATGTCCAGACAGAACCACCATGTCCAGACAGAACCAACATGTCCAGACAGAACCACTATGTCCCGATAGAACCAACATGTCCAGACATACCCACCATGCCCAGAACCGAACCACCATGTCCAGACAGAACCAACATGTCCAGACAGAACCACTATGTCCCGATAGAACCAACATGTCCAGACATACCCACCATGCCCAGAACCGAACCACTATGCCCAGAGTGAACCACCATGATCAGACTGAACCACTATGTCCAGGCAGAACCACCATGTCCAGACACCATCATCAGACAGAACAACCATGATCAGACAGAACAGCATGTCCTGACAGAACCACCCTGATCAGACAGAACAGCATGTCCTGACAGAACCACCATGATCAGACAGAACAGCATGTCTAGACAGAACCACCATGATCAGACAGAACAGCATGTCTAGACAGAACCTTCATGCCCAGACAGAACCACCATGATCAGACAGAACAGCATGTCTAGACAGAACCGCCATGATCAGACAGAACAGCATGTCCAGACAGAACCATCATGCCCAGACAGAACCACCATGAACAGACAGAACCACCATGATCAGACAGAACAGCATGTCAAGACAGACACACCACGCCCAGAACAGAGCCACCATGTCCAGACAGAACCACCATGTCGAGACAGAACCACCATGCCCAAACAGAACCACAATGTCCAGACAGAACCAACATGCCCAAACAGAACCACTATGTCCAGAACAGAACCACCATGTCAAGACACAATGACCAGACAGAACCACCATGCCCAGAACAGAACCACCATGCCCAGAACAGAACCACCATGATCAGACAGAACAGCATGTCCAGACAGACACACCACGCCCAGAACAGAGCCACCATGTCCAGACAGAACCACCATGATCAGACAGAACCACCATGTCGAGACAGAACCACCATGCCCAAACAGAACCACAATGTCCAGACAGAACCAACATGCCCAAACAGAACCACTATGTCCAGAACAGAACCACCATGTCAAGACACAATGACGAGACAGAACCACCATGCCAAGAACAGAACCACCATGCCCAGAACAGAACCACCATTATCAGACAGAACAGCATGTCCAGACAGACACACCACGCCCAGAACAGAGCCACCATGTCCAGACAGAACCACCATGATCAGACAGAACCACCATGTCGAGACAGAACCACCATGCCCAAACAGAACCACAATGTCCAGACAGAACCACCATGTCCAGACAGAACAGCATGTATAGACAGAACCACAATGTCCAGACAGAACCACCATATCCATACTGAACCACCATGTCCAGACAGAACCACCACGCCCAGAACAGAACCACCACGTCCAGAACAGAACCACCATGTCCAGACAGAACCTGCCTGTCCAGACAGAACCACCATGTCCAGAACAGAACCACCACGCCGAGAACAGAACCACCATGTCCAGACAGAACCTGCATGTCCAGACAGAGCCACCATGTCCAGACAGACCCACCACGCCCAGAACAGAGCCACTATGCCCAGAGAGAACCACCATGTCCAGACAGAACCACCATGATCAGACAGAACCACCATGACGAGACAGAACCAAAATGTCCAGAAAGAACCACCATGCCCAAACAGAACCACTATGTCCAGAACAGAACCACCATGTCAAGACACAATGTCCAGACAGAACCACCATGCCCAGACAGAACCTACATGCACAGACAGAACCACTATGTCCATACAGAACCACCATGATCAGACAGAACCACCATGTCTAGTCAGAACCTACATTATCAGACAGAACCAGCATGACCAGACACCATGGCCGAACAGAACCACTATGACCAGACAGAACCACCATGGCCAGACAGAACCGCTTTGGCCAGACAGAACCACTATGTCCATACAGAACCACCATGATCAGACAGAACTACCATGTCTAGACAGAACCACCATGACCAGACAGAACAAGTTTGGCCAGACAGAACCACTATGTCCATACAGAACCACCATGATCAGACAGAACTACCATGTCTAGACAGAACCACCATGACCAGACAGAACAAGTTTGTCCAGACAGAACCACCAAGGCCAGACAGAACCACTTTTATCAATGTTTCATCCATCTTCTTTTCTTTTGAAAATTACATGTGATTTAGATCACTGAGTGGCAACTGAATGTTGGCAGATAGATCGAAGTGGCGAAAGTGGAAAATGTGTATCGCATTGAGGAACTATCCACCACAGGCGCTGCGACATATTAGGGGCGAACCCTGGCACCTCACAGAAGTATCTCTGTATCTACACACAGACTTGACGCCCAGCCGTGTCCAAGATCCTCTCCCGTTGCCCCATCCCCGACTTTTATGTACTGAAATGATTGAAAACGAAATAAATGGGTCTACAGAATACTTAATACAGATAATACATGTTAAAGAATAGGAAATATTTTCCCCAAAATATACTTAGTTGCAGACACGTTTATTTGTCACATCTTATCCATATTATTGAATCACATGAAGCGCAGATTAATGAGTCTGTCTCGAGTCTGCCAACAGAATCTTGTAATTACGTTTCTGATGATATCTCCGCTGTATACAATCAGTCTGTACCTGATGACTCAGAGGAGATTCGGGATGAACTGTAGAACGCCTGCACGTGCAGAACCATTGCCCACGGATAATAACGACAACGGGTATCGACCATGACACAAAGCATTCTCGTCCTCCGATTATCTTGTCACCTAGCAACTATATATATGTCCACATTTTATGTATGTATTTACATAAGGATATTTTATTGCTGAATATAATTGTACCCTCTGGTTCGTGAGGAATTGCAAGGAACTGTTAACCAGAGCATGGGGCAAATTGAAGTGTCTCCTTAATCCCGTTATAGCTAAGTCTGCGACGACGCAAGGGGATGATATGAGTGTGTATATCACCTCTGTCATACTTGAGGGAGTTGATGCAGATTGTCCCTGTCACGGTTTCTGAGTACGTGTAGTTAGACTTGTCAGAATTGCCGGAGTAAATGTCTCATGTACTTCTTACTAATCAAAGGAAAGTAGGATTGGGAACAATTCCATACGGTCGTCAGAGCCCATTGATCATAAACGAGTATGCGACTTTTCTGGTATGATTGATTGGATGTCAGTGCAAAGTTACATAGGCCTATTACCTTCATTTACCGGTGACCGTGCAGGTGCAGCGACCTTGGGGGACATTACAGATCAACACGTTTGTTTGTGTATTGATGGCCATCTTCCTGGTACTTGCTTTCGGCACGCTGTACCCTGACGCCATCTTGCATGTCATGCCTCAGGTCAGCTGTGTACAAGGGTACCCGGTAGTTAGGCATATCCTTGGCATCATCAACATCTAGGATTGTCATCAAGTCACTTGGCAAAGTTTATTTGTTTGTTTTTACGCCGCACTCAGCAAAATTCCAGGTATATGACGGCGGCCTGTAATTAATCGAGCCTGGACCAGACAATCAAATGAGTGAGCAGCGCCCAACCCTACGTCAAAGAGCCTGGTCCATTTGGGCGTCTCGTACGACCAGCATAGGTTGCTGGGGAGCTCTTCTAACCCGGAATACCCACGGGGGTGATCAAAACGCGAAACAGGGGAGCTTGTCCATATGTAGTTCTTTCACTTGCTGATAGATTACAAAAAAAATGAACACTCCGAACGTTCACAAATATACATCTTTCCTTTTGACCTGTTTCAAATGCCTGTCATGGCCAAGGAGTAATGTTGCCACTGAAGCACTAGTCATCAGATCCTGTAACAACAAGACAAACAGTAATGTGTCAGTTATGATCAAATACCAACACATTGTGTCTCGAACATCATTTTCTGATGTACAGAACACAAACCAGCTGCGACAGAAAGAACACTCCAAGCTGTAGTTGTACCTGAGAAATACTTCCGACATTGAAATTCTGAAGAACATGTGTTAGCCTGTAGATGGCCATCTCCTCTTCCACAGTCGTTGCCTTCATCTATTTCTTGTGGCGTTCCAAAGGCGTTCGCTTCGTTGTATTCAGTGCTACTTCATATTACCGACACAGAATAGCACCACGACGTGCCAAACTATCAAAATGTCATTATTCTTTATTTTCATGATCTATGCCAATTTTAAGCTTTATTGGACCTTGACATTGACCCATGACGACTTCACGTTTGACTGGTCGTTTACCGTAAGAACCTTGTACGATCACTGTACCTATTACAACGAGTTGTGACAGTATAATTGTACAAATGTAGAATTTCCATTGTCTTTGGTAACAGGTACCAGTTAGAAAAAATGTAGACATATCATAAAGGTGCCTCTTTTCTGTTGGACACAAGCTTATAAAAGTGACATACAAGTCAGGAACGTGTGGCACAATAATTCACGTTTTGTACACTGGATGAAACAGTTATACAGTTTCCGAAACATGCTTAATTTGTATGACCTTTCAGTTGTGAGTATTAAGTTCACAGTGTTAAGAACTGCACAAGACAATTTGAAACATTGTTGTCAAAAGATGAGAACCAATCCACAATTGTTTGCCATCTGAGTAAACGGTGGCCGATAGGTATCAGATACCGCCATTCGCTGTGCAGTTGTGCCCCTTACAATGCTAAGAAACGCTGATCTTTATTTCGAAGCCCTGATTCGCAGTGATTATTATCATTGTGTGTCACCTGCGTCAACGTGATGAAACTCAAAAACTGTTGAAAGCGGCGTAAATAAAACCCTTTCCATCATCATTAGACGTCCCTGCTAAAAGAGACCATTGTATGATTCCGACCCTATCACGAGCATGCGCCTGTGAGTCACTATCGAAAAATGATGATACCAGGTATTCACAGTTGAACCTCAGCAGCTAGAGCATCATGAAAACCCAAATACGCGTCCTAGTCAAAAGACTTCCAAATGCACCCACCATGCCCCGCCAACATTGCGAGGACGTCAGCAACATCGCGAAAATCTCAGCCACCTGCCCCTGTTGGGAAGATTGAATACCTGCGCTATCAGATCAGTCACATACTTCAAAAAGCCACATCATAAACATCTTACCTCAAACCATCAAAGACCACAAAGAAGACCCACACATCATGTTCCCATTTCCTTGTCAACACGATACTACCCGAGAAACCTTTGAGTCCACTACCCAGCAGCACTATACACTCCCCGTCTCACATCCACAACCTCTTCATGCCGGTGCCACCATCAAGATCCATAAATCCCCTTCAAAGCCAGATAGATTGAATGTTCCATGTACACTGTCTACAGCTGCACTGCTCGTTACCTCACTAAAATGCCATTCTCTCTCTCTCCTTAATGCAGACTCCACAGACATGAATGTAGATGAGTGTTTAGACTCCGCCTCACTACTCCAGCACCATGGAGACGGTGAACAACCAACATCACCCCTTCCTTGACGAAACCAGAAGCCCAAGCACCGAGATCTAAACCGCCGTTATCAGGAAGCCTTCCGTTTCCGACCAGTACATTCACTACGTCTTGCATCATCTCCACACTGACCAAGATCATCTGTTCCAGCAACCTTGACCTTGACCATGAACTTAATCATCTGTCTTCGCCAAACTCTCACTGAACTGGTCTAGAGGACTATCTCCACCTACTGTAGCCCTAGCCCAAACCGAAACCGACCAGACCAGAATCCGCGCCATTAGAATAACCCTACCCTACATTGACAAGACTCCATATCAAATCAGAAGATTACTTAAGCACCAATCAGGCATCGATATCATCTTTCCTGGCTCCCCATCCTTTAGTACCATCCTCCACGCTAATGGCCGTTACCCTCCATCTAACAAACACTCCCCCCAAAGGAGTTATCTTTAAGACAAGTTGTGACTGTGGTGATTCGTACATTGGGGAACCTCCCGCTCAGTAGTGACTCGCGTCCAAGAACATAAACCTCAACATCCAAAAGAGACAGCAAATCAGCCTCTCAAACCATGGGCAAGATTTCGCACAATATGACGATCCTGACCCTTGGTCTTCCACTACGTGGTCGATCATCTGTAGTGTTGGTGGTCTGGTACCGTTGCTGGAGCCTGTATATGGTCCTTACGTGGACTTCAAATGCATTGGCTACTTGCCGGGCGGTTTGTCCAGCTTGCAATCGTCCAGTGGTTTGGTGTCGCTGATTTCTTGTCAATCTTGGCTTGTGGTACTCATTCAATAACGAATGAATGTTATCCGATCTGGGTGAATTTTTATAGGGCAAGAAATGGGGGAACGTATGTGCATTTCAATTTGCACGGAACTCACGTGCATCGGGTTACCATGGCCGTTGCCGTGATGCGTCTGGGCGATCTTATTTTATTGTCATCTGCTTTAGGTTTTTTATAATCAAATTTCATTTTTCCGGACAAGGTAATGTTAAATTGTAGAAACTTTGACAAAAATTACACAGATATTTAAATGACAACTTTTCATGCAGTGTTACTTTGGGTGACGTTTCTTTTGCAGTTCAGTATATATTGAAATTAGCTGTCCAAATCACATTCATCAGCACTTGCATAACACATATAACAGCAGGACCTA